GCATTAACTTGTGTTTCTATTGGACTTTAAAGTGTCGAACCTGTGGAAATGTCAGCAACTCACCCTCTGTATGCTCAGTGATAAGTCTGTTTTTGCCATGGAATGGAATATTATTACATAGATCATTACTCTTAAATCCTTTCTCTGATATATAAATTTAAAAAACATACCTAAGTGAAGGATTAATTTATTATTTTATTGATTGATGTTCCTACCATGTTTCTTTGTTGTAGTAGTGCCAGACCATCTTTGGTCCCAAGGAGGTATGGTATGTAGATACAGCTTCTGCTTTACCCTATTTTATCCCAGATTTAGACACGCCTCTAGAGTTTGGGACTGGAGCTGAAATGAACCAAATTGTACAATCACATGTATATTATTAGGCTTTTATCTTAATATAAAAAGAGACGACTCGGTAGATGTCTTTCATGGCAGTAGGTGTGCAAGGAATGTGCCAGATTGAAAGACACGGCTGTTAAGTAATGATTAAGGACTGGATGGAAACTTACTTTTGTTGTAGTTATTTGGTACATTAAGCGGAACTTGGCTTAAGATTGTACAAGCCTGCCCTTCTTCTGTGTGATGGAAAATGTTGCTTAGTACCTTGGTTTTTTTCCATGATGCCACTTTAAATTAGCATTCCAAAGGATTTTGAAGTATGGGTCGTACTCATGTGACTTTCTTGAAATAACTAGGCTCTAACCAAAGTAGCATAAGTAATCATCTCTTAATACATGCATGTATGTAAGACAGAAAACAATATTAAGATGGAGTCAAAGGTAAGCTGACAGATAAACCCTTGTGTTTACCATGAAGAATGATCATTTGTTAGCTGGAGGAGTGATTATGTGGCTCTTTCATTCTGAAAGCATTTGAGCTTCCTCTTTAGAATTTGTGAATATTTGGAATTCAGACCTATTATTACTGACTGATGGGGACCATCATTAGAGCTAAGGATAGGAGTAGCTGATATCCTTAATGGAAGAAATATGCTATTTGTTCATCTCATTTACCCGTAATAACCTCCCTATTTACAGGTCAAATGACTTTGAAGTTAGGTTAAAATTTAGCTCTATTGGTCAGATGATAATTTGTGTACCATCATTTACACTATTGATTTTTTGTGTATTTGTTTCTTTTTAGAATTGTGATAATTTACATGAGGATCTATATGTGATCCAGGCTCATGATTCACCCATATATATACCAGCTTGTATTTGTTAAAGTTTGTGGACCAACAAATGCCGAGCTATGATCAGTGAAACACTGACAATGCTATTTCCCATCTTAGCTGGCTTACTGAATGAGCTTGGGCTTTATCAGGGGCTGATTGCTTTATTCAGTGGCATTTTCAGCCTAAAGATGTGAACTTGTAAAGGAAATATTTTGCACAGCATGTTTTGCTTGCTTTCCCGCTCTTCCATCCTTGGTCCCTCCAGCTCCCTCAGTGGTGTTTTTCGCCCTGAACTGAGTCCCCGAGGCAGAGTATATAGCCCAGAAGCCAGAGCTGGGAGACCTGTGGCAAGGTTGAGAGCCTAAGATAGAGGATACTCAGGGGAATGTGCTTGGCCTGGGGACGCCGCTGGGAGCAGCCTGGACCGTGGAGCCGTGGGACTGGAAGGTCAGAGTAGATCAATGCGTGACAGAAGGCAGCCGGCAGAAGAGGGCACACAGGAATCTTGGGGTTTGGTGGAAGTGATGCAAGAAGACAGCACTAAAGGAAAGAATAAGGAAAGGTCCAGTCACATCAGGAATCTGTCTATAGAAACGGAGAGAACTGTGACACCATCTGGGCAGCAAACTTGGGACATAAGTTCTTTGGCATTTCTGTGCATGTTGTGCTCTAGCCAAGAAGCTTCTTAGGCATTCCCTGTCACGTTAGGCCCCGGGCCCTGGGTATGGGCCCCGAGAGCCCACTCATAAGAGCAGGTTGTGGGTGTGTCTGCCAGGAAGGGAGAAGGAGGTGGCCTGGGTGGGTCCTGACACCTGAGGAGAGAGGTTAAGGACATGTGTCAGCACAGGCATAATTAGCACTTTGCTGAGCATTGTGGATTCTGTGACTCACAGGCCTTGGTGTAACACACTCTCTTCCAGGCAGTGAAACCACCCAGCCAGGGCTGGCAATGAGTGAGGCGTCCTAATATGTCTGCTCCATTTCACATGACCAGCAAACCTTATGTCTCTGTGTGTTATCGGCGTGAACCTTTCTTAACAAATTATTTTTGGATTGTTTCCTTGGGGCATTTTCCCCAAGGTGAGATTCCCAAGTCAAAGGGCAGGAGCAATTTTATAGCTTCGGTTACATATTGCCAAATTGTTTTCCAGAAAGACTGAGCTAATTTGCCCCACCACTAACAGTGTGTAAAGCACAGTTTCAATTTTAGACAGTTCAGACAGTCTGAGCACACATGAGAAGTATAATTATATTACTACCCCGAGGCCTACCTGTATAGGTGGCTCTCATAAGTAAACTCAATATGTGGACTTTGAAATTATGGAACTGATAAAGTGTGTTGCTAATTTATTCTTCAGAATGTGGAGCCTTGAAGTTAGAGCTTTTGCGGCTGGAGAACATGGGTGTTGAGGTGGAGGCCCCTTTTGGACAAGTGCAGTGCTGTGGTCCCATGCTCTGAGAAGTTGTCAAGGCCGGAGCAGAGGGAAAGGACAGCCAGGCCCCAGCGTTTCTGCCAGTGAGGTCGTCAGGCCTCTGAGGAATTCTGGAGGACTTCTGGGAGGTTGGGGGAGGCTGGGGCGGGGGGTGAATTTTGGAGTCTGGCACGCAGCGAAAGAGAGGGCATGTCCAGTGGGTACACTGGAGCCACCAGTCACTGAGCCATGTACCCCCCGGGTAACTGCTAACTGAAGGCCTTTCTCATTGGAAATGTCAACTTGGGTATTGGAGTGATTTTTTTCCTTTGGGACAGCATTATTAATTTTATAATGGAAGTTGATAGAGATGACAGATTCTGTAGAAATCTGTTGATTCTGTAAGGATACGCTTGCCTAGTCTATAAAGGCTCCTTTGCCTTGTTTCTGACAGGGGGATATCTTAGACCTTTTCCAGAGAAATAGATTTTTCTCATTGCTCATGCATGCTGACATAGCACTGTACCTTTGCCAGCTTCCCCAGTGACTTGCAAAAATTCTATAACCTAAATATAGGACATGTAACAGCACGTTATAGAACTGGGCCAGGAAGGTACTGCAGAAGACAAACATAATCCCTATAGCATGCAGTTCAGGAAGGCAGAAAGGAACAAAGATCAAGTCATTGATAAGGTTTTGGGTTGTCTAAAAATTATGTGTATATATTTTAAAGGAAGTAAATTGAGCGGGTATTATCCTGGAAATTCCAAATCATACAGTTACATGGGAGTTGAGATAAAAAGAATTCTTTTAATTTCTAGGTCCCAAGCTGGAAGTAAGTCTTTTTTTTTTAAATGTTTTCTTTTTCTTTTTTTTAATTTTATTTATTTGACAGAGAGAGACACAGCGAGAGAGGGAACACAAGCAGGAGGAGTGGGAGAGGGAGAGGCAGGCTTCCCGTAGAGCAGGGAGCCCGATACGGGGCTCGATCCCAGGACCCTGGGATCATGACCTGAGCCGAAGGCAGATGCTTAATGACTGAGCCACCCAGGTGCCCCTGGAAGTAAGTCTTGATGGACAGAGAGAGGTAGGAAGCATTCAGTAGCCAGCAGAGAGAAACACCAGGGCTGTCACGTGACCTAATTGGGGATTTTATTTATATTTTACTGTCAGTTGATTTTTTTTCTTTTGGTGGTAAAACGTACATAACAAAGATCGCTGTCCTAACCTTTCTTAAGTGTACAGTTCAATGGTGTTAACTACATTCACAGTGTTGTGCAACCCATCACCACTATTTCCAAAACTTTTTTATCACCTCTGACAGAAACTTGCTATGTTAGGCATTTATTTTGTGATTGGTCATCTCAGAACTTTTTCTGGTTCAAAAAAATGCAGAGTTCAAAACCTTCTTCTTCTTCTTCTTCTTCTTTTTTTAGTTCCAGCATATGCCATAGGCTAGGGTTGATTCTGGCCGGTATGTGTACCTCATTCATTGGTTTCCTTTCATCTGTCCTAACCCTGCATGCGTGGTGGAAGAGGGTGCCCATCCAAGTAGGTCGGGAGGGATGTTGTTCTGTCAAGGATGTGTGAGGAGCTGTGTCCCCCTGTTGGAACCTCTGAGTCAACTCTGTTTGTAGAAGAACACGGGCAGTCTTACTTATTTAATGTATTTTAAAATTAAAAAGCAATATTATATTCTTGACAGTTCAGAAAAAAAATTGAGAACTTGTCATCCCTTTGAACACAAAAATGATTATTTTTCCATATTTCTTTTTGATCTTTGTTCATATACATGTTTTTGACATAGTTGATAGTGATGGATCTAACTATATATAAATAACTTACTTTTCATCTATCACTCACAATTTTTCATTTTGCTTGGTGGTTTTCGTAATAGCAGGCTTATGAATGGATGTAGCTTAGTTTTTTTAACCATATGATCTTCTTTGACATTTAGGTTGCCAAAATTTATAACTATTATAAATGAACATCTTCAAACATATGCTTTCTATAGTTTAACCACTTCATTTTATTCTCGTGAGAGAGACAAATACAGTGTTCATATTTATCGTTTTTTTTTTTTTTTTTAAGATTTTATGTATTTGGGAGAGAGAGCATGTGCAGGGGTGGGGAGCGGCAGGCAGAGGGAGAAGCGGACTCCCCACCGAGCAGGGAGCCCGACACGGGGCTCAATCCCAGGACCCTGGGATCATGACTTGAGCCACAGTCAGAGCTTAACCGACTGAGCCACCCAGATGACCCTTCATATTTATCTTATTGTGGGCCATTGCTCCTGCATTTTCCATGAAGATATGGCACAATCCGTGGTGGTGTGTTTTTGTAATTATGGCATGGAAGACAAATGTTTGAAATGTAATTACGAGATGGATGACAAATGTTTGAATTGGTTACAGGTTGTGAAGATCTTAGAGAAGCACGACCCCTTGAAGAACACCCAGGTGAAGTATGGATCCATCCCTCCAGATGAGGCCAGTGCTGTACAGAATTATGTAGAACACATGCTCTTCTTGCTGATCGAAGAGCAGGCCAAGGATGCTGCGATGGGGCCAATTCTGGAATTTGTGGTCTCAGAGAACATCATGGAGAAACTCTTCCTTTGGAGCTTGCGGAGGGAATTTACTGATGAGACTAAAATCGAGCAGCTCAAGATGTATGAGATGCTGGTCACTCAGTCACACCAGCCTCTGCTGCACCACAAGCCCATCCTGAAGCCCCTGATGATGTTGCTGAGCTCTTGTTCGGGGACAACCACCCCCGCTGTGGAGGGGAAGCTGGTTGTCCTGCTCAATCAGCTCTGTTCCATCCTTGCCAAAGATCCATCTGTTCTGGAACTCTTCTTCCACACTAGTGAGGACCAAGGGGCCGCCAACTTCCTCATCTTCTCCCTTCTGATTCCCTTCATTCACCGAGAGGGGACAGTAGGTCAGCAGGCCCGGGATGCTTTGCTGTTCATCATGTCTCTGTCTGCTGAGAACAGCATGGTAGCCCATCACATCGTGGAGAACACCTACTTTTGTCCAGTAAGTCCCCTCATTGGCATGCTTTCTACCCATTCTTTTCCTCTCCTGTGCTACTGGTAAATCCTTTTTCTCTTCCTTTCTTTTCAGCAAGTTGTCCTTGGCACCTTCTAAGGAAAGATGTTTGCAGGAAATCTTTTGGAGGGAGCAGAGGAATCTAAGTTGAGATGCGATATGGCTGAGCATCGTCAGCTCCAAATAAGCCAGCAGAGGAAACTATATGTGTTACCATTTCTTGTGTCATTTCTGTTGGGTTAGGAATGATTTTAGCTTTTTTCTAAGAGCATATCCTGAGTGATCGGTGAAACCTGCACTTTCTGTATTCTTGCTTTTCTAGTCGATTTCGCACCCTAGAAACACGGCCTGTGGTGAGCCCGCTCAGCTGGTTTCACAAATTAATTTGTTTCTCAGCAAGATAATGACCATAATTGTAGATACAAAGCACCCGTTTTATTTTTAAAAATAAATACGTATTTACAGTTTGAGGGAGCAGGAAATCTGCTACTCTGTACAGTTTCCTGATCATCGGCATGGTGAGAAGGAAAGCGCGAGGTCCTTGGCAGACGTTGCTGTCCAACCACAGTCACAGGTCCAGAAGGGAATGGGAACCGTCTGGGACCCTGAAGATACTTTAGGGCTCTGATTAGTTTTTTGTGTCAGTGTTGTCTTTGGAAGGGGGCTTTGAATGGCAGATTTATATCTTCTGGTTTGTCGGAGATGTTGGGTAAACGGCTCTTTTTATGTTCCCTGCTCAGTGAACACTATCTAATAGTCTATTGGCTTTTCTTTTTGCCGTCACCATGTTACACTTCTTGATAAACTCTATTGTCTTGAGTATGCCTGATTCTGCTGGAATCGTAAGACCATAATGAGTTTTATTGGAACAGGCCAGGCAAGTTGCCATAAGTAGATTAGATTCATTATTAACGAAGGCTGTATGGGTACTCCTTGACCAGGGGAGAAGGCAGTTAGGAATATCTGTGGGGGCGTACTTTGTCATCATAGGGACATGAGGTGGCTGGGGAGGGAGGTCAACTGGCGTTTAGTATGCAGGGTCCAGGGATGCTTTAGTCTGGTAGTTTGTGGAACAGTCTGGCACAGTAAAGAATTGACTTGCCCAAGATGCTCATAGCAACCCTAGTGAATAATGCACTGTGTTTTGCTTTAAGGTTCAAAAGCAGTAATCTTCTTTATGCTACTAGATTCTTATTTTTCCTGGTGAATATTTATTTTGGGGCAAACAGTGGGTAAAAATTTTGAAAACTAGAACTTCAGAAATTCTGGGTACCATGTGTCTCTTCTGGGTTCTGACAAGTAGAATTAGAAATTGTACAAAGATTGATAGTCAGATGGGAAGGAAAGTGCTGATTCCCTTCATGTGTGCCAGTGTAGTAAATGTCCCTTCCTTATTGCCTTCACAGTGTAGTTTCTTACAGACTCTTTTTAAAGAATATATCATAGGTAAAAATGGGACTTCTCACCTGAATCTAAGCATCTTTGGAGTACATTGCTTTATTGCTTTTCTATTTCTGCTGTAACAAATTACCAGAAACTGGTGGCTTTAAACAAGACAGATTCATTATCTTACAGCAGTATTATCTTACTGTAGGTTAGCAGTCCAGCAGGTCTCACTGGGCAAAAATTGAGATGTCGGCAGGGCTGTGCTCCTTTCTGGAGGCTCTCGTGGTGAGTGCATTTCCTTGCCTTCTCCAGCTTCTAGAGGCCTCCCGTATTCCTAGGCTCATGGCTCCTTCCTCCCCTTCCACCGTCAGCAGTATGACATCTCTCTGACTGTCCCCTGACTCTGCTCTTCTGCCTCTCTCTTCCACTTTTAAGGACCCTTGTGATTACACTGGGTTTACCTGGATTATCCGGGATAATCTCCTTATTTAACGATCAGCTGACAGGCAACTTTAATTCCCCTTTGCCATGTAACCTAATATATTCACAGGTTCACGGATTAGGAGCAGACAGTGTAGGTGCGTGGGTAGGTGGGGGGCATCAGTCTGCCTACCCCATTTGCTGGATCCACTTCAGAGAACTCTGGAAGAAACGTTGAGTCATAACACAGTAGAATCAGAATTATTTTTTTTTTAAGATTTTATTTATTTATTAGAGAGAGAATGAGAGAGAGAGAGAGAGAGCACACGTGAGGGGGGGGAGGGTCAGAGGGAGAAGCAGACCCCCTGCTGAGCAGGGAGCCCGATGTGGGACTCGATCCCAGGACTCCAGGATCATGACCTGAGCCGAAGGCAGTCGCTTAACCAACTGAGCCACCCAGGCTTCCCTAGAATCAGAATTCTTTTAGGAGTTTAATCTAACGTGTACGATGGGTGAGTTTGTTCAAGACTGGGAGATGCTGAGGAGATCGGGAGTTACATTAGGGTCTAGAAACAAGAGTGATATGGAGGAGAATGGAAGGGAGGGGCTGGATATGAGCAATGCTGTGGAGGCAGAAGCTTACTAAAAATAGTTCTGGGGGCGCCTGGGTGGCTCAGTCGTTAAGCGTCTGCCTTTGGCTCAGGTCATGATCCCAGGGTGCTGGGATTGGGCTCCCTGCTCGGCGGGAAGCCTGCTTCTCCCTCTCCCACTCCCCCTGCTTGTGTTCCCTCTCTCGCTGTATCTCTGTCTGTCAAATAAATAAATAAAATCTTAAAAAAAAAAAAATAAAACCAGCTTCTTAAAAAAAAAAAAAGTTCTGTGAGGGAGCAGCTATACAGAGGGCTTATTTGAATTGTTTTGGGTAGTTCTGTTAAAGGAACACAGGTATCAAAACAAATCATCAAAATATTCAGGTGGTTCTCCTGATCAGTCTGCAAAAGGCAATTAAAAAAAGATACCATTTACAAAAGCAACATAATTCTAAGGTATCTTGAGTAGTAAATCTAACAAATATATGAAAGGCCTTTATAGAGAAAATTATAAAACTTTACTGAAGGGCATAAAAGCAGACCTAAATGAATGGAAAGCTATTTAGTTTGTAGGTATTGTGTAGATGACACTTTCTTGCAGATCAGTCCATAAAGTTAATACCATTTGTGTTTTACAACTTTTCATTATGAAGAAAAGTAAAATACAGAAAACTTGGAAGAATACTGAAATGAACACCCCAGACACAGCACTTACATTCAAAATTGTTATTATTTGTGTTTCTCATCTATGCTTTTCGATTGTGCTGTACCATTTGAAATGACGATATAGACATTTGGAATTAAGTTATAGACATCAAATACTTTTATTTATTTATTTTTTAAAGATTTTATTTATTTGACAGAGAGAGACACAGTGAGAGAGGGAACACAAACAGGGGGAGTGGGAGAGGGAGAAGCAGGCTTCCCACGGAGCAGGGAGCCCGATGTGGGGCTTGATCCCAGGACCCTGGGATCATGACCTGAGCCGAAGGCAGACGCTTAATGACTGAGCCACCCAGGCGTCCCAACATCAAATACTTTAATATGTGTCTTCTACAAATAAGAGCACCCTCCCATCCAGGTACTAACCAGGCCCGACCCTGCTTAGCTTCCGAGATCAGACGGGATTGGGCGCATTCAGGGTGGTATGGCCGTGGACAGGAGCACTCTTCTACATAATCACAGTGCCATTATTACACCTCAGAAAATTATGCAATAATTCCACAATGTGATCTAATTTCTAGTTTCTCAATTATGCTCCAAGTGATTTTTATAGGTTTTTTTCAAACTGGAGTCCAATACAAGGTACATTTCTGACCATCAGATCTCTTAAGTCACTATTGATCTATAACAGCCTGCCACTTTTTTCCTCGGTGACACTGACTTTTTAACAGAACAGCCATTGTTTTGTAAAATGCCCCACATACTTTGGGTTTGTTTCTAATATAGTTTTACTTGTCCCTATCCCCTGTATGTCCTGCAAATTGGAAGTTAGGACTAAATGCTTGACTAAATTCAGGTTAAGTCTGTAAGAGTACTTTACAGGTGAAGTGGTACACTTCTTGCTGTGTTATATCAAGAGGCATGTGCTAGGTTGTCTCACTTTGGTGATGCTCTACTTGATCACTTGATTGGTTAAAGTGATGACCACTGCATCTCTCCATGTAAAGGTAACACATCCCCTTTGCAATTGTAAGATGTAGTTAGTGAGGTGTTAATGTGACTTAAATAAAAATCCCAATGGGGTTCTTCATGAAACATGGCAAATCAATGCTAAAAATTATAAAAATATGTGACCAGGAATAACGGATAATCATGAATAATGATTATATTTGTTGGGAACTTACTCTATGCCAAATACTGTTCTTAGTGCTTTACATGTATTAAATCGTCTCATCCTCGCAACTGTAGGTACGAGTGTCCTATCCTTTTTATAGATAAAGAAACTGAGGCACAGTGACATTAAGTAAATCTATACAAGGCCACATGGCTAGTAAGATATAAAGTCAGGATCTGAACCTGGGCAGCCTGGCTCAAGGATCCATCTGTGTAACCACCACTTTGTACATGGGTAATAAAATATCAAGACATCCTATAACACGTGAACCATAAAGAAACGACTGGAATTAACAACAGAAACATAGATTGGGAGAAGATATTTGCAAGACATATAACTACAAACGGTTGGTACCCAAAATACACAAAAATATTTGTAATGCTACCAATTAGTAAGAAAACAATGAAGCAACCCATTAGAAAACTGGGCAAAGGATATGAACAGACAATTCCCAGAAGACACCCAAAGCCAAGAAACATAAGAAAATATGCTCATCTTCGCTAACATCAGGGAAGTGCAGATTGAACCCGCAGTGAGACACCAGGTAATGCTCATCAGGGTGGCTAACTGTTGGATATCTGATAATACCAAATGTTGTCAAGGGGGAGGAAAAACAGGAACTCTTGAGAATATGAAGTGGTGCGATAACTTAGGAAAGCTATGGCAGTATTTAATAAGATGGGATATTTGCATACCATGTGATCCTGCATCTTCACTTCTAGATATCTGCTTTAGGGAAATCTGGCACATGGGTA